CCCACCGGCGGCCAAGCGGTGACAGCCCAGCTCATCGTCATGAGCATGTGAGCTGCTGGTAAGGGGAGAAGCAGCGTGCACGGCTGTAGGGAATCTCACTGAAAAAACCCAGCTGGAATGAACACAGAAAATGCTGAGGCAGCCACGCCAGAAGTGTCTCGAAGCAGTGACCTGTCAGAGGAGATGAACGAAGTAGCGCGTAGGCCTCCCAAACCCCCACCGGCGGCCAAGCGGTGACAGCCCAGCTCATCGTCATGAGCATGTGAGCTGCTGGTAAGGGGAGAAGCAGCGTGCACGGCTGCAGGGAATCTCACTGAAAAAACCGAGCTGGAATGAACACAGAAAATGCTGAGGCAGCCACGCCAGAAGCGTCTCGAAGCAGTGACCTGTCAGAGGAGATGCGTCCATCGATATATATCTTCCGGGCAAAAACGTTCTACTTCACTCCAGGACACAGCTTTCCTAGGATGTAGTTAACCAACCAGTATGCTTGTCATTGATTAATTGACTGTCTCAAAGAAAAACGCGACAAAGTAGCGTGAGGTGACACACAGCAGGCACTGTAGATGTTTTAGCGTACTCTCGCTGTTCTGCTCGCGACTAGTCTTTGTACACAGAAAAGATAGTGTTGTGCTTCCGCAGAACGACGTCCACACAGAATTTATCAGGAAGAAGTCACGGTATGAGACACGCAGTTGGTTGGGTCTAGCGCGTCCGCCCGAAGCAGATCTGGATGGTGTAGGCATCTGTGAAGTTGCGGCTGTTGTTCCTAACCCAGTTGCGGCTGTTGCGGCAGTTGTACTACAAAGTCGCCAGTTCTCATCTTCCAGCTCCACAGATTGCTCCGCGTACTAAAGTTGTACTACCAGGTCGCCAGATCTCATCTTCCAACTCCCCAGATACTCCGCGCACTCAACTTGTACTACCCAGTCGTCCGTTCTCATCTTCCAGCTCCTCGGATACTCCGCGTACTAAAGTTGTGCTACCAAGTCATTGTACTACCAAGTCACCAGTTCTCATCTGGCCACTCCCCAGATACTCCGCGTTAAAGTTGTACTACCAAGTCATTCTACTACCAAGTCACCAGTTCTCATCTGGCCACTCCCCAGATACTCCGCGTACTAAAGTTGTACTACCAAGTCGCCAGTTCTCATTTTCCAGCTCCCCAGCTACTCCGCGGACTACAGTTGTACTACAAAGTCGCCAGTGCTCATCTTCCAGCTCCCCAGATACTCCGCGTACTCAAGTTGTACTACCAAGTCGCCAGTTCTCATCTTCCCACTCCCCAGCTACTCCGCGTACTAAAGTTGTCTACTACCAAGTCGCCAGTTCTCATCTTCCAGCCCCCCAGCTACTCCGCGTACTAAAGTTGTACTACAAAGTCGCCAGTTCTCAGCTTCCAGCTCCACAGCTTGCTCCGCTGCTAAAGTTGCACTAGAAACTCGCCAGTTCTCAGCCTCCAGCTCCACAGCTACTCCGCGTACTAAAGTTCTACTACAAAGTCGCCAGTTCTCAGCTTCCAGCTCCACAGATTGCTCCGCGTTGTA